AACATTTCCTTCTTGGTGAAGCACTCAGCCCCATGGGAGAAATAGGTCATCTTCCTCTGGAGTCCTATAGCAGTTTGTATAGTTACTTTCCCAATGGCACATACAGCTTACAATTATGTTATTATTTACTTGTTTGTCTCCTGCACCAGACTGTGGCAAATAGATTCCTAGAACACAACACTACATTTTACTTACTTTGAAACATTCAGCATCTATCACACTGCCTGAATTATAGTAGGTGTAATAAAATATGTGATGAATGAATGAATAAAATGTTATTATCATGATAAAGGGTGACTAAAAGCATTGAGAGGTAGATGTCAGCAATTTCTCTGAGGACAGAGGAGCAGAGCATATTTTTGGAGATGGAGTTCTGAATTCACTTCTGAAGCTAGATAGTCCTTTTATTTTGGAAAGAAAATACTTTTGGGGAAAAAGCTATTGAACTACACAAAGGTGAAACAAAGGTCTCTTTTCAAAATGGTAGTTTGAAGGCAAGGAAATGCTAAAATGCTCTGCATAATTATATAAAAGTGATTTTCCTTGTGAGTGGAAATTATAACTCTATGCAGTACTTCTTTTTAGGAAAAAAAAAAAAAAAACATTTTTCCTCTCCGTGGGTACCTGTGGAAATAAGCTAAATTCTAAGGAGAGAGACATACATATGGCTAGTGCATCATAGCACAGAACCAAGTTCTAAGGAGAGAAGTGGCTTGTCTCATGTAATACAGATAATACTCAGCTTTGACTTTTTATTTTTTATTTTGCCACTGTCTTGTTATCACAAATCTTTAATGAATTTTTACTCAATGTTATAATCTTGTGTGAGTTGTACTTTTGGAAACAAAGGGTCTGGATTTACACTGGGACCAGGGAAAGGGGTAGTTTAGGAGGAGCAGGCTTCAAACTGTAAGAGAAATTGTATGGAGCCAGAGCATTAGTAAGGAGATATGTGGCCACTGGGCTGATTTCTGAAACATATGACACTTAATTCTTGGGCATTCTGAGAAATGCTTGGGAATGGGTACCTGACAAAACATGGGCTTTCTATGATCAAGAAGGGCATCAAGGCAATTGGCAATAAATATATAAAGAAAAGGTAAAAGTAAAAATCTTCCATATTGGGAAGAAAAAACTAAGACTGTCTTTATTCACACATTATATGCTCTTATATAAAGAAAATCTACCAAAAAATCCCTACTAGAATGAATAAATGAGTTCAGCAATGTTGCAGAATATAAGATCAATATACAAAACAAATTTTATTTCTATATGCTAACAAACAATGTGGAATCCAAAAATGAAATTAAGAAAGGAATTCCACCTCCAATAGCAATGAAAAGAATAAAATACTTAAAATATATTTAACAGAAGGAGTGCGCTTGTACACTGAGAACTATAAAATAGAATCATTATTGAAGTAAATTTCAAAAGACTGAAGTAAATGGAAAGACAGCTCATGTTTATGCATTGAAAGATTTAATCTTGTTAAGATGGCAATGCTACCTGAATCAATCTACAAGTTCAATGCAAACTCTTTAAAAAATCCCAGTTTTTTTTTCCCTTCTGGACTTGGTAAGCTAACCCTAAAATTCATATGGAAACACAATGGACTCAGAATAGACAAAATTAGCTTGCAAAAGAAGAAAACTGTTGGGTTATATGGTATCTCTGTGTTTAACCTTTTTTAAAAATATTTTTTAATTGTAGATGGACACAGTACCTTTATTTAATTTATTTATTTTTATGTGGTGCTGAGGATGGAACCCAGGGCTTCACACATGCAAGGAGAGCGCTTCACCACTGAGCCACAACCCCAGCCCTCTGTATTTAATCTTTTTAGGAACTGCTGGACTCTTCCAACTTTGGAAAGTACTATTGTACTTTCCAAACAGTAGTGTATGAGGGGTGCTTACTTCTCCACAAAAAATTTGTCTTGTTGGTCTTTTTCATTATAGCCACTGAGCCACATACTGGGGATACACCTATGAAATGATATATAGGTACCACAAAATAGTGGTTAAGATATTTAAGTCATATTATTATTTAGCTACAAATGCAGTTAAGAAGACCAGAACACATGAAAATAACTTATCTAGTTGTAGAATTGTTGGACAACATACCTTTAGTGAGAGCAATCTTTCCAGAAATTATCTGTAATATTATATAAGTCTAGACTATAAAAATGACAAATATCTTCATGTTGTTGGATTTTTATTTGTTATGATCCATAATACCAAATGTGTATCTTGCTGAATGCAAAGAAACTGTGGAAGTTAATAATTGATTAACTATAAGGTGATAATAATATTGTATTACTCTTTACAGAGAGAAATGGGGTTGTAGACATGGGAGAGGGTAAAACAGGAAGCAACAACAATATTGATAAAAAATAAAGATCCAAAATTATTCCTGGTCCCTATCATTCATCTGACCACAAATATCCATATTTATCCTGTTAGTGAATTTAATGAAATCAATATTCTAACCTTCTTGTCATTAAAGGCCACTGGCCCTGGGTAGATGGGCAGTGCCATTACCAGATGAACATACAGAGAACTACAACCAATTACTCAATCAGAATTAGTCTATCCCATTAGTCAGATTGCATCAATATTGCAATATATTATATTTATTGTTAAAAACTGATTATACTTTCTAAGATAAAATGACCTATAATTTATAAAATTTTGGTACAACTGTGATAGATGTTATGGAAATTAAAAAAAAATTATGGTTGTAGATGGACAGCATGCCTTTATTTGTTTTAGTTTTTTATGCAGTGCTAAGGATTGAACCCAGTGCCTCACACATGCTAGGCAAGTGCTCTCACTGAGCTACAGCCGCATCCCTTATGGAAATTTTTGAATTATTTTCTGTCCAAACAGGTGGGGACAAGTATCAAGTGGGCAGAGTGGGCTACATTTGCACAACTAGTCTTTTTTTGGGGGTAGGGCAGTGTTGGAGATAGAACCCGGGGTGTTCTGCATGCTAGGCAAACCCTCTATCACTGAGTTACACCTGTAGCCCTCACACCAGTCTTTTTAAAGGTGTTAGCATCAGCCAGGGAATGAAACTTGAAACTTTTCTGGATTACAGATGAGCATTGATTTGATCATAGTTGCAGTGTCAAAATTCCAATTTAACATAGAAGTAGATATTATGGAAAAATAAAGTGTTTTCATAGATCATAGCTAGGTTCTTTTTCATAGTCCCTTCTCCAAGCTGATCATTCTTTATTATTTTTTCTTTTGTCTACCAAGTGGTCACTGAGGTAGGACTGTGGCAAAATGTGTAGGCTGATTGCAGGGCAGGGTGTCCAAATGGCTCGTTGTTGTTGGTCCATGGAGTGACAACATCTTTGGTGCAGTAAAGAGCTCTGAACACACAGGTGTAGCCAAACATCTGGGCAAATATTCAAGTGCTCCTTATATTTTCTTCTCCAGTGTATAAATAACTCACTTTTGGCACTATATAATCTTAAAGCATGATGTCTAAATTGAAATTTAAAGACACAATTTTTTGAAATAGTATATGAATAATAGAAGTCAATGGTGAACCCCAAACTAAAATAAATCCCAATAATTTGCTGACCCCCTAAACTCCCAGAAAATTGTTTTTCTCTTTGCAGGCCTGAAAACAAAGCCAACTGCTTCTATTTGGAATGCACTCAGCTACAGCGAACAGAAACTTGATTTAAGGGGCTCACAGAAACTGAAGTTTCTTTCCTTTACCTAACAAGAAGATTAGTGGGTGACGGTTGCTGGTTCCGTGGCTCAATCACGCCATCAAGGACTCAAACATAGGGTTCATTTTCATTTAGTGGGTAGATATTAAGTCTGTACACTCTGTCAATTATTTCTACTGAAGGACAGTTTTTTACTTAAAAATATTTTAATTAAAGCATTATAGTTTTACATAGTAGTTGGGTTCATCTCAACAAATTAATACATTCATGGAATTCTATTTCAGTTAATGTCCTCCCCTTTTCTTTCCCTCTTCCCTCACCTCATTCTCCTTTCTCTACTGATCTTCCTTTTGCTGATCTAATTTATTTATATTTTGATTGGTTCTTTCTACCTATACATAAAGGTGAAATTTCCCATGGCATATTTTATATGCACATAGCATGATTTTTTTAAAAAAAATATTCCATATTTCCTACCCTTTCCCATCCCTTCTCCCTCTTAATCTCCTTCTTCTGCTCTACTGATCTTCCCTGTATCTTTATGATATCCCATCCTCTCTTCCTTCTTTTGAAGGTAAGTTTTATATAAAGCTAATTTCAAAGACTGGAGAAGTTAAAAAAATGAAAAGTCATGTTAAAAATAGTGAGCATGTACCTTAGGGTTTGGTGTGGTCTGTTTAAAAATGTTTTCCTTGGTACCTGGTCCTGGCTCTTGTCATACTGAGACACTTCATCTTTGTTTGCTTTGTTCTATTCTGTTGTCTCCTTTGCTTTGGGGGTCAAAGTTAATGCCCCCAGTAGAGGCAGTGAAGCAGAGGAACAAGGACTATGGGCCCAACAGCCTGTCCCTCTTTAACCATTTTTGTCCTACAAAAAGACAATGTCATACAGTTCAATGCAATAATTTAAATATCATTTGGTGACTATTGAATGCTGATTATTTATAAAAAATCAAAACTTTAATAACTCCCAAGTGGCCAAGCTGGAATAAAAACACTGACATCAGTACCCTAGCTGCTTCCCCCAAATTTTATTAAATGCTCCTCATCTCCTGGCCTCCAGGTAATAAAGCTAAAGATAGCCTTTTCCTACTTTTTGAAGTTTTCTATACTTCCTTAGAATTTGTGAGAAAATATAATCAGCCTCTCTGGAAGATTAGGAGGGCAGTAAGATACCATAGCCACCTCCCGGCTGACATTTGAGCCCTGCTTCCCGCCTGGTCAATCCTTTTGGAGGCAGCCAGAGTATGGCTTGTATCAAACTCTATATTTAGGAAGAACAACTGTGAGCTATGACAGGAATTCTCTTTAACACTTAGCCTTAAACTGAGTTCCCCTCCAGCCCCGAGCCAGGAGCAGCTCTCTGTACCGGGAGAGGCACAGAGCACTCGAGCTATTTCAGCCACATGAAAAGCATCAGAATTGAGATCGCAGCTCAGAGGACACCGGGCGTCCCTTCCACCCTCCAAGGAGCTTTGTATTCTTGCACCTGGCTGCCTGGGACTTTCCTCAGGCAGTAAACAAATACAGAAAGCAGGTAAGCAGAAGGACCAGCTCTGCTGGCAACTGGGCTTTCTGAAGGAAATGTCCTTGATACCTAACTTGATGTAACTACTTATAACTTTATAGGCTTGTAACCAGTGGGGGTAGTTTCTTTATCAACTCCCTGTTCACTGATGGTGTTGCTGCTTATTTTATACATTGTTTATGCATATGTGTGTGAGGGGTGTGCTGAAAAAATATTGAACTAGAGGTATTTTTCATTGATAGGGATGTTAGTAAAATGTTCACAATCCAGATATGATAACTGTGACCTTGAAGCTGGATGGTCAGCATTACAGTCAGCCAGCTGTAGACTGATTTGGACTCAAAGCTGAGAATTAATCAGGAGAACTGGGAGCAAAGAAAAGCTATAATGCTAGTTTTCTGATTTACTTAAATCCGCATTATTGACAGAGTTGTTACACAGTACAAGTTTGAATGCTTTTCTCATTTCCCTAAGTGCCAAGCTTACTCTTAATGATAAAGTTCTATTAATATCTGTGTGTAGATAGAACCTTCTTTTTAAGAGCTTCACTCTGGTCAGTTTTCCTGAAACTTCTATCAGTGAAGAGGGCAGTTCTCACTGTCCCCATCTATGCGGGTACCAGATTTCAAGGCATGGGACTATAGAGTCTCTTCCCTCCCATTGTATTTAAAACAGAGTGAATAAGGAGTCAGTTCAGACAGCTGAACATCTTTCTACACCCTTCTCAGGAATTATTTTTAGCTGTAGGACAGAAGATAATTCCCTTTGAGATGGAGCTTTATCCATTTACTTGACCTTTCAAAAGAACAAACAAAGCTCTTCTTTCCAAATATTGATTTTCCTCTGAATCCCTTCTTATTAAATTAGTGATATTAATGTTGACCAATTTTTAGTAATTCAAGGAGTTTTATTTAGAAGTTAGATATTAAGTGCTGTCCAATCAAAACCAACCAGGGGTATATATTGTACATGACTCAGCATACAGACCATTAAAAGTCCCTACTGACTTGCAGAACTGCCAGGAAAACTCAACTGCACTCAGTTGGCAAGCATTTCCATTATACTATAGGCTTTGTAAAAGTCAATATATGCCTGTCAAACTTTCAATGTTTTCAAATTTTAGCCAGAGCCAGGAGACAGACACAGTAATTGAGTATTATAAAGAGTACCTCTCTGGATGAAAAGCTGTGGCCCCGGTGGGAGTAGAAAGTGTACCTAAGGCATAGCTTTCTTTTTTTGGTCCCGGGAGGAAGCATGCAGATGAAGAGGGAAGGTGCATCCTATACTCTACATCCCTGATAGAGGTGAATACAGGGCCAGGGAAACAGCTAGGGAACACGGTCTATTTTTATTCATTAGTGTGCTTTGCCCTGATTTCTCTGCAAATAATGAGGACAGCAGGAACTGCTGCTGAACTGATTTACACAAATGTTCTCTAGCCTGTTTGTGAGGAACAAGAGCTGGGAGCTAACCAACTTTTTCTATAGGTGTCTCTATTCAATATTGACATGGATGTTTAGAAGAGATTTGTATATAAATCAGAATATACCAAAACTATAAGGAAGATAAGGCCCACCCATTTGTTAGGCTATGTTTCTCCCCTCAAAAAACATAGCAGGACAGTAGTTGTTGTTATCGCCAGTGGAAAAAAAAAACACAAAATCAGCTTATCAAAAAAAAAAATCAATGCAGTATAAATGACACAACTATCCATTGCTTATTTTTTGTTTTGTTTTACATTCCAACATGCTATTGTAATAACATAAAGAAATTTCCTAATTCCCATGTTTTAAATTGATGTAAAATAACTTTTCAAAAGTTCCCAAATGATAGTAGTTGAACTTTAGTTGTACACACTCAGAGAAAACTATGCTGAGATATTTGAAATCCTCTGAGAATTCTTTGCATGACTTCTACTAGCTTTTGAGGAATGGAAACGTTAAAAATTAAGTCACTACACTTTTCACTTTGGCATTGAGCTGTGTGCCCTAGATCCAAAAATTTAAAATGATTCATTTTCCTTTGACACTGAACAAAAGACAGTAATCTTTTTGAAACAAATCATAGAGCAAAATGTATCCCTGTTGTTCATTTTGGTTTTGCTATTTAATTTTTTAACCATATTAAAAATAACTGTACCTACACCTTTATGCATGGAGGCTATATCCATGTAATTCTAAAGCATTTGGGTAAAACTTTTATAAAAAGCCTCATCATTTTCATGTATATAGCTACAAAAACTCTACTTGGATATACTAATTTTAAAAATATGTAATTGTTTAACTTCACATAATAGAGCCTAAGACTTTGAAGATCTGAAAAGAAACAACAACCTAAGTTACTCACAGAGTTCTCAGATCTTTTATCTCTACAGGTGTTGAGGAACATCTGTCTATCAATTCTCTGTACTTAAGGCTGCATATCAGTAATAACAATCACAAATCATTAGCTGTGGACAGTGCCAGTAAAACAATAAATACTTGCACCATGCTTTAACATTCGCAGGGCCTTCCCAGCAGCATTATGTGTTTTGAATGTTACTACAGCCTGTGAGGCAGGTAAATTTTAAGGAAGGGGAAATGAGCCTAGAAATGTTGAGCAACATTGCCCAGGTCACATAGGACTTGTGGCAAATGCTAATACTGCTTCCTGTGTCACTTATTTACATGTTAACATGTATGTTTAAACCAGTCAATAGATAGAATGCAGTCAACCTGTTTTATAGTTTAGGTTTAGAACACAGAGTGCTTTTCATTCAATGAATTTTTTAACTTTTCACTTGGTCCTGTTCTTGTTTAATAAATGGAGCTATAAAAATAAGCCAGAGCTGGGTTATTATTTCCTGTTCCTTCAGCCCCAGTAAACAGCCTAGTCCCCAAATATGCTCCAGTTACACTGCCCTAAGGAAGGTTGAAAGAATGAAATAGTCCTCTGGGAATGAAGCAGTTCTACATCTTGGGTATCTGATCTGACATGGGCACTGAAGTCCTTCTGCCTTCTGAGATCGTTGAAAGCAAAGAAGCTGTAAGGTTGTTAATTAATGTGTCCTGGGCTGCCCATCCTGAGGAACATAAGGCAGTGCTGGGGTGTGGGGTGATGAAGCTGTAGCCCAGGTTCTCTGAGTACCTCCCAAGAGCTGGGAGAAGAGACATGTGCACAGTGGGGATGTAGCACAGGCCATTTGTCTTTGGGTGTTCAACAAAGAGCAGGTGCTCTCACTGGACTGACTAGCCGCCCTGGCAACAATGAATTCAGATCAAAAGTTCAGCTTCAAGTGGAGAGCCGCTGAAGCCTGAACAAAGGTGTTTTATTCCCACCGCCTCTGTGCTTTGCTGCTCTTGGCAGAGGGTCAGGAGGGCAGGGAAGGAGATGATAGGGCCTTTCAAGTTTCTGATCCCCTATCATTAGCATCAGGGGCGAGGCATCTCAGCATTTCTCCTCCTGAATGATTTATTGGGGCGCTCTAGTATTCCCTCTCCCCAAGGCTTTCAGAAGGAGGGTCTCTAAGTAACTTTGGAAATTGAGACTGAAAGAATATATGGCCTGTGAAAGGGGTGGCTGCCCAGTTGAATCATGAGTTAAATTTGAATTTATCAAAACTAAGAATCTGAATGCTGCCACATCTAACAGTTTCTTACTTATTTTTTAGGACTAAGACTGCCTGAATATGTCGAAACAGCCAGTTTCCAATGTCAGAGCCATCCAGGTAAGTAGGTGTGTTTGTGTTTTAACATCAGCTCTGTGACTTCTAGTGTGATCGCTTAAGTCATACTGCGATCGTTCACCTCTAACTGATGTGAAGAAAAGAAAGTTCCTCTTGGTAAGGCTCCTGAAGGACAATTGAGAAATGAAGACCGGTAAGCATAAAAGAGAAAATAAAAGCTATTTTTGTTTAATTGTTCTGGATTATTATAAAGACAAATCAAATTTTATAAATGAGAATTAAATTATCTTCTACAAAAATATAGTGTGTTCACAATAGCCTATTATATGCTTTCTGAAGAACTAGAAGAGATTTGCTCAAAGGCTCCATACAGAAAGCAATGATAAGGAGAGGAAAATGCTAATTGCTCTGATTTGATCAGTGCACATTGCATACATGTATTGTTATAAAATATCATATTGTTGAAATATCATACTGTACTCTATAAATCTTTATAACTATTAAATATTAATTTAAAAATGTAGCATGTTTTTTGATATGCATGTTTTATATGCTCAACAATAGAGATAGAATGTTCAGTTTCCATTTTCATATCCAATTGCTATATAGATATATCAGTGGGTCAAAGTTTGTTGATGCCTCTATTTCAAATACATCTTTTAAAGCTGGGGGTATAGCTCAGTGGTAGAGCACAAGCTTTATATGTGGGAGGCCCTGGGTTCAATCCTCAGCATAAAATCAAATAAAATATATCTTTCTTTAAAAAAATGCCCTTTTATAATCAAGTGTTCTTCCCATGGCTTGTTTATTTATTCATTTATTTTTAATTTTGGTTATTTATTTTTAAAATTTCATATGTTATTAGCTTTCCTCATGCCATCTCAGTAAACAAATTCTTTGGTTGTTTAAATTGACTTAGTATCACCCACAAAAATGGGAAAGAGAAGCAGGCATTTTGAAACAAAAACACAATTATGAAAATAACTTTCAGTATTTGTTTTTTTTTTTTTTTAAATATTTATTTATTTATTTATTTAGTTCTCTGCGGACACAACATCTTTGTTTGTATGTGGTGCTGAGGATCGAACCCGGGCCGCACCCATGCCAGGCAAGCACGCTACCGCTTGAGCCACATCCCCAGCCCCAGTATTTGTTTTTATTCAACATTTAATTTGCTATTTCTCTTAAGTGTTCTGTGTTTGATTGTGAAATGGCTCCCACTCAGAGAATTGGGTACAATGATTTATTGTAAAATTCCTTCTTTTTATCAACATGGAACCCATCTCTGCTTTCTCCAAATGAACATTTTTTTCTTTCTGGACTTTTTCTGAATGTGTGAGGGCATGTGGCAGTTGCAGAATGTGTTAGCTTTGATGTACCATCATGGCATAAATACAGTCACAAACAGTTGACTGTGTTTTGGAAGGGCATGCACGTGGCCAGGCTGTGACTACATCATTGAGGGTTTTAGAAATCCTGGCACACACCAGTGATGGACGTGGGTGGAGGGACAGATCTTTCTTTACTTGTCATGACTAATGCATATTCTTAAATTGGTGGGGTTCTTAAGTGGCAGGATATATGACAACCTCTAGAAACCTGTCACTTAGTAAGCCACCAAGGAGGGGCCTATGTATTTGGCAAGGATTCCATTCCAAATTGTGACATTCAGTCCTCTGGTGTCTACCTAGTGAGACCCTGACATCCTGACAGTAGCAGTGGAAATTATTTTGTCTCTCAGAATTTGGATATAATTGAGCTTTAGAATCTTCTCTTCCACATGTAAGCAGTTAGTAACATGTGCTCTGAAATCAGATTGCTGAGGTCCTTCATCTGTCTTGTGCTGGCATAGGATCATAGGAAAGTAACTGTACCCTGTTCTCTCTCTGTACCTCCACTCCCACATTTGTAAAATGGGGATGATAATAGTACTCACCATCTAGGGCTATATGTATAAGATGCTGAAAACAGCACAATATACACTAGCTGAAGATCAACCATTATTATAGTTATGATCTTTCAGGAGTGTTTTATGTAAGTTCTGAGCAATAATACCATTGGATCACTTCGCTTAAAGCTTCAAAGTGCTAAACATAAAATTTCCTTTTTATTTTGTAGGACACAAAACCATAATCTTCTCTTGGGCTGCTTTTGCTTCTCTTTCCTTTAAAGCTGAAAGCATGATTTGTCTTCTCTCAGTGCTCCCTGGTCTCACTCAACTCTACACTGAAAATTCACCAGCATTTCATTTACTAATTTTGACCTTGATATATGTTTAGACCTATCATATTTAAAAAGCTACTATCGACTATTCTCAGTAGCTGTTATTATGTTGCATTACCAAAAAATCCATCCACTTTACCAACAAGGGCAATACAGTCATTCCTTATGGTGTGGTGTTGCCTCTTTCAATATATTTTATGCCACACAAAAAGCCCAGTTTAACGTACCTTCATTTTCTTGTGGCTAAATTGGATCAGTACTATCTAATATTTTCTATCATTTTTGTATTAACCTTAAGTAGGATGCATTAAATAAAATATAAAAATGGTTACACAGTACAAAGTAGTTTATAGTAGGGATATTTTCTAGGTTACAGTCTTCTCTGGAACAAATAAAAACCCTGATTGATGAGGGAATACCCTCATTGTGTAAATGCCATTCAAAGGTCTTAAATGTTCTACTCAATACATTCTAGTCACTTTTTATTAGAACCTTATTTCCAATCCAGTTCACTGGTTGTTTCCTGGGTACATATTGTGGACCAGGTACTGTGCTAAGTGTAGGGTATACAAAGATGCATTGATATCTGATTCCTATATTTGAGAAACTCATAGACTCCTACTTAATAGCTACATGACTTTGGGCAAGTTTATTTTGTCCTCTTTGTGCCTCAGTTTCCTCATCTGTCAATAAGGGAATTAATAATAGTGTCTATCTCAAGGTTTCTGGGAGGGTAAATTGAATTAATCAAATTTAATACATGTAAATGCTTAGGCCATTGGCTGGGTCATTGTAATTGTTTAAGAAAGAACTTTTATTATCAATGATAATCATCAATCATCATCATCATCTAGTTCATGACTACACTTTTTAAAATTTTTTTTAGTTGTAGATGGGCACAATATCTTTAAATTTTTTTATTTTTATTTTTTGGGCACAATATCTTTACTTATTTATTTTTATGTGATGCTGAGGATCGGTTGAACCCAGTGCCTCACTGTGTGTGAGGCAAGCACTCTACCATTGAGCCACAACCCCAGCCCAAACAGTGGCAGATTTGTGTGTGTGTGTGTGTGTGGGGGGGTGCTGGGGATTGAACCCAGGGCCTTGTGCATGCAAGGCAGGCACTCTACCAACTGAGCTATATCCCCAGCCCTCATCATCTAATTCAGTAGTACCCAAATGTGTCCTTTGGAAAACCAGTTTTATGAGATATTGTTAATTAAATTAAAGGCATCTATCATTAAATGTTTGGAAAAATTTATCAGAGTCAATAACTTGAAAATAGCATCATATTATTTCCAGGAAGGTGGTAACATATACAATGTTTTCTAAACATATTGGACCTCTTCAATGAGTATCTTGCTGTATAGTGTTTGGCAGAGCAAATGTCTAGAAATAATAATTGGGGTCTCTACTTTGTCTGGGTTGGTTAAACTTAAGCTACTTTCAGCCATGCTTGTAACAGGCAGGCAGATCAGGAACTGAGTTATTGCACCTGTGTTAGAAAACATGGCATCAAACAGTTGCAAACCTCTTAGCTTACCTTTCTGTAAAATGGGGATAATATGTTACTTAACATGGTTGTTATAATGCAAAATGCAAAATCATGTATGGCAAGCACCTGGTTTATAGTACACACATTTCTTAAGAGATGGCTCTTTACATGTAGTAATGCATGGAATGGCTTTGCTTTCTCTTCAAGTGGCTCTATCTCCTCCATGTACTAGAATAAGAGGGAGACCAGAACTAGATTCACCCTTAGAAGAAGTGGACAATTGTCTTTTACATCCATACTGAAGAAGAGAAGGCCTTTGAATTTTGTGGAGATTTTAAGTATACCCTTATTTCACATAGTTTTAACTAAGTCTCAGCAAGGGAGCATAAAAATAGCTTGAAGGAATCAGTTGATTCTTTCATAGCCTGGACAGGGTTTTTGTCTCTTAAACAGCTGATAAAGTTGTGTCTCAGAGGTTGGCAAACCTTTTCCGAAAAGGACCACATAGTAAATATTTTATGCTTTGGGGTTGTTTGGTCTGTTCCAATTACTCAACTCCATTGTTATACCATAAAGCAGCCATAGGCAATACAAACATAGGTGTGTTTCAGTGAAATTTTATTTGAAAATCAGGTGGTGGGCTGAATTTGGCCAGTGGATTGTAGTTTTCCAACTACAGTTTTAGACTCTCCAGGCTTCTTGTTATTCCCCATTGTTGATGGGAATGGAGCTGTGACCAAGGTAACATCAGCACATTTGGGACACTAAGTCCGCTCCCTTCCCACGAAAGAATTTGACATGACAGGTGGTGGGGAAAGCTAGAGCTGCTGGGAAATCTAATCCCATCAGTGATCTGCTTTGTGACTTTCTCTAATGAGACCAAATGACATCAGCTACTAGTAGCACCTGCTTGTTCTTCTTCTTCCTCCCAAACATACCCCCTTTTGGAAATATCACAGGCCTCCCAGGGTCTCATTCATACAGAGCCAATCTTCTCTGGGTTGTCACTGGTCATTTCTCTCTATTGTTTATCAAAGTAGCTATTATTTTTCCTCTCCCAGGCGATCTGAGAGCTCATGGCTGACTGGGAAAGAGTCCTGTGCCCTAGTCTTAGCTCTGCAGTGTGACTTCACCCCCCACCCCCGACCCTTGTAATCTGCAAAGGGAAGGTGTTGTGTTAAATGACCACTAAGCCTCTGACCAGCTTCTAATAGTCTGTGAATTTCTTGAGAATAACTTCCAAGGTTTACTATTAGGATGACAGTAATAACTACAGTTATTCTGGGTTTCCTATGTTTTTGGCACAGTGCAAAGAATTTTT